CACACACACACACAGACGCACACACACACAGACGCACAACTTCCAGTCAGCCTCAAGTCTGTTTCTCTTTTAGTCACTTCCTCTGCTGACAGAGTGTGTGTGTGTGTGTGTGTGTGTGTGTGTGTGTGTGTTCAGAGCCTGTAACATGGACCTGCAGACGGCCATCCAGGAGACCCAGTGTGCTCTCAACCTGGTCCTCAACAACAAGTTCTCTGAAGCCCTGGACCTGCTCAAGCCCTGGTAACCACGGCAACGCGGCTGCTGTCGGTTCTGGTTCATGTTTGGGCCGCTCAGGGCCGACGTCGGTCGATTCGGACACACGGTTAAAGTCATTTATGTCGTAGTGAGAAGGCTTTAGACCCAGTGAGGATGTTCTGGACGGTTCTCGGCTCATTCTGGAGCTTGTTTTGTCATTTTTGGTAAATGACTATTTTGGGCCTTTTTTCTTTTGGCTTGTTTTGCATAATTAATGAGGAATTTTAGCCGACTTTAGTCAGTTTTGACAACTAATGAGAACATCTTTGTTTCATTTTGTATAATTTGTGAGACAGTTTGGGACAAATGATGTGTTTGGACACTTTTTTCTTTTTTTTTACATTTTGTAAAACTTTTTGAAGTCGTTTTGGACAATTTGTAGCTGATTCTGGATTTTTTTTTTGTTTGTCTTTTGTGAATGCTTCTTCAGGACATTTGTGACCATTTGTGGCTCATTTTTAAATTAATTTAGTCATTTTGGATCATTTATAGTCAATTTTGGAAAATTCTTGGTTCATTCTGGAGCTTTTTTTGTAATTTTTTTGCAAATTCTAAGACATTTTTACAATTGTATGGCGTGTTTTGGATAATTATTTAGGACTTTTGGACAGTTTTTGTAGTTTTTGACAACTTATGGGAACAATTTTGTCTCATTTTGTGTAGTTTGTGACATTTTGGGCCAAATTCTGATGTATTTTAGACACACTTCTGATTTTTTAAAATAATTTTGTAAAGCTTTTTTGGACAGTTTGTAGCCGATGTGGGATTTTATTCATATTTGTTATTTGTGAATGTTTTTTAGGGACAGTTTTGACTGTTCGTGGCTCATTTTAGATTTTGTTTTTGTCAGTTTAGACAAATTCTGAGACGTTTTGGACAATTTGTGAGTAATTTTGTACCTTATCAGCCGATTCTGACCGCTGTGTGTTGTGCAGGTGGAGGGACAGCATGTACCACGCCCTGGGCTACAGCAGCATCCTGGTGATGCAGGCCACCATGACCTTCGAGCACCGCGACATCCAGGTCGCCATGGCAACCATCAAGGAGGCGCTGAACACCTGCCAGAGGTGAGGCTTGGACCTCACGTCCGTCCGTTCGCTCGCTTCCTGCCGTGACGATAATCTGAAGACTTTGGCCTCGAGGTTTATGTTTCGGTGGCTGTAAACACGTTTGGCTGGAGCAGCAGAGAGTGTTGCATTATGGGATGTTTGTCCACCATAAAAATAAAAAAACCCATCAGAAGAAGGTGAAAGGCCAAAACCTGTAAGAACAGCAGCAACGATGATTCAAACAGAGGCTGTACGTTTACAGTCCAACACTGTCAAAGAACAGATTCAAATGTGGACGTATTTACAGTTTTTTAAAAACTTGTTTTAGTCAAAACGTTCATCGATCAGAGTTCCTCAGACGTCTGGTTGAGTCCAAAGAGCTTCAGTTTAGTGTCACAGAGGAAAGAAACCAGAAAACGTTCACGTCTCAGACGCTGCAAACTCAGAACTCAGACTGGTTTTATTAAAGATGTGCTTAAATTAATCGATTATTAGAAAAGTTAACGATTATTTTAATAGTTGATCAGGTATTTTATTGATTGTTTGAGACGAGTTCAGAACGTTTCACTGAAAGAAGTCATTTAATGAACAGGTGGGAAACACAGCAGGACGAATCCTTAATTTATAAGAAACTTCATTTTATTTTGAAAATCACCCTCACTGAGTTTTACTTTGGCGATCCACGCAGGTTCAGGAAGAAGAACTCGGTGGTCGGCTCTCTGTCCAGTCTGATCAGCAAACAGTCCAACCTGCAGGAAGGTAGGTGACCGCAGGCCCCGCCCACGCTGCCTCCGATTGGCCGCTCAGGTGTGCTCAGGTGTGGCAGGTAACAGGAAGTCTCTGTGCTGCTGTGTTTGCAGAGGAGATGCACGCAGAGCTCTGCTACGCCGAGTGTCTGCTGCAGAAAGCCACGCTCACCTTCGTCCAGGTCAGAACTCATCTGTCCCACTGCTTACCTGTTTACCTGTCTGTTTATCTGTCTGTTTACCTGTTTGCTTACCTGTCTCTTTACCTGTTTTTGTTTACATCTGTTTACCTGTATGCTGTTTTTTTTTATCTGTTGCTATTTACCTGTCCGTTTACTTTTTTATCTGTCTTTTGACTCACCTGTTTGTTTGTGTTCACGTCTGTTGTTGTTGTTGTTTTCTTAACCCTCACTGTGTTTACCTGTTTATCTGTTTACTCGCCTGTTTGTTTATCTGTTGGTTTGTTTGTCTGTCAAAAACAAAATATTTGAGTTCAATCAAAAAGGAAAGTATTTCAGTTCAAGTAAACAGGAGAAGAAGAAACAGTAAACATACTCTGTGATACAGCGATCGGCTAACACAGCGATCAGCTAACAGAGCGATCGGCTAACACAGCGATCGGCTAACACAGCGATCAGGTAACGTAACGTGAACCATCTCCTCCTCCTCCTCCTCCTTCTTCTTCTTCCAGGATGAGAACATGATCAGCTTCATCAAAGGAGGCATCAAGATTCGAACCAGCTACCAGATCTACAAGTGAGCTAGCGCTCCAGCCGCATTTCATTATAACGCTGATGGTTGCTACTTCCTGCTTGTGATGTCACGCCTCCTGTCGCCCAATAGGGACTGCCAGAATGTGCTGAACGTCACTCAGGACCTGGCCAGCCAGTCGGATTTGTTCAGACAGTTCGAGGGCGGAGTCAAGATGGGAATCGGCTCCTTCAACCTGGTGAGGCGTTTGGTTTGTTGCCGCTGGAGTCCCGGGCGGGAGGAGTTTAGCTGCTGCAGGTGTTCAGTCAGGCTGGGTCTGAGTTCCAGATGTTGCTTCAGCTGTAACGTTTGGACACTTAGAGCCGGAGACGAGGCGGGTTTGTTCTGATAGAACTAGTCGGGTGTCGTCGGCATATTGGAGGATCCCAGACGTGAACCCACACAGAAACCAAACGAACCAGTTAGTCATCGCCCTGATGTGTTTGTATCTGATCAGTGATTGGCTGTAAAGTTGCTCCTGTGTCTTCCAGATGTTGTCTCTGCTCCCTCAGAGGATCCTGAGGCTGCTGGAGTTCATCGGATTCTCAGGAAACAGGGTCGGTACCAACTCCATCCTCACCCAGAGGCGGCTTTAGAGCATGTTCTGATTTAAACGTGATATAAAATCGACCGTTTGCAGGAAGCAGAGGATGTAAAAAACGATAAATTCTGCTTTTGTCTGGGCGGCTGTGAATCCACCAACAGTCATGTGACAGAAAATCTGAGTTTAGACACATTTTCAGTCGTTTTAGGCAAGTTTTCATCATGTTGGACACGTAATGGGTCATTTTGGAGACGTTTTTTGTCATATTTTCACCAGTTTTAATCACATTTTTGTCAGTCTGGACCAGTTTGACTACATTTCGTACGATTTTCTTTCACATTGGACACATCTGGAGTAGTTTCAGACACATTTTTGTCTCTTTGAACGTGTTTTTGTCATGTTCGACTCATTTTGGTTTATTTTGCAGAAGTTTTTGTCACGTTTTAATAATTTTTAGTAACTTTCGACAAGTTTTTTGTCTCGTTTTTAGTCATTTTTAGAGATGTGTTTTTTTGTCACATTTTCATAAATTTTGAGTCCCTTGGAGAACTTTTGTCAGTCTGGACCAGTTTGACTACATTTTCTGTCCCACTGGACCCATTTTGAGTTCTTTTATGCAGGTTTTTGTCTGGTTGGACATGTTTTAGGTCATTCTGGGCAAACCTCTGTTGTGGAAAACTTCATGACCTGTTGTGTGGTCTGCAGGGCTTCGGTCTGTCTCAGCTCAGGGACGGAGCTTCCAGCCACAGCTTGAGGTCGATCCTTTGCGCTCTGACGCTGCTCTTCTACCACACCTACGTCTCCCTGATCCTCGGTAGGACGCTCTCACAGCTTTATTCACGGCCTGGTTCAGAGGCAGGCGGCTGAACGTTGCTGTTTTCTCTGCTCAGGAACCGGCGAGGGGAACCTGGTGGAGGCTGAAGCTCTGCTGGAACCGTACCAACACAAATACCCCAAAGTATGTGAAGCAGAAGCTCAGGGCGAGCAGCCGACCACAGCGTCCACATTTAGCTTTATGGCTCAGAGGGAAACGCACACAGCAGTCGTTTCAGTGTTTTCGTCTGTTTCAGGGCTCCATCATTCTGTTCTACTCGGCTCGGATCTCTGCGCTCAGAGGAAACTTTGAGAAGGTTTGGACCTCTACATTCACACAAAGTCCTCAACCAGAACCTCGTCGTTTACTCACTGAAAACCTCACAGACGACGAGTCATCAGCTCTATGATCGCGTCGAGGTTCAACTCTGATGTTCAGACGAGTTCAGTTCGTCCCTGACGTCAGGCTCTTCTCGTCTTACTGGTTCAGACCAGTTTATCGGTTACGTTACAATAAATGCAGAAAAATCGACTTAAACACAACAATTCAATTAACGGAATACGTTCACGTCATCGAGGAGAATCAAACAACGTCTTTATTTCCCCAAAATATCTAAAGTTTGCCAAAAATGTTTTCATTTCAGGAAATATCGTGTTTTTTCCCCAAAAATATTTTCATTCATAATTTTTTTTTTTTAATTGTTCCAAATTTGCAAAATAAATAAATAAATCCTTTCTTTTTAAATTTTTTAAAAATATATTTTCTTTTTCTCCAGCATTTGTTATGTATGATTTATTTTTGAGAAAATAAATAATAAAAATAATCATATAATTTAATGTAATTATATAATTTTCTTATTTTACAAAAAATGCTTTAATTTATCAAAATGTCCTCATTTAGAAAATGTCGTTTTTATTTCACAATTTTTTACACATATTTTAAAATATAAAAAAATAAATTAAATGACAAATATCTTCTCTGGTTTTGTGGTATAATACCACATTATTATTGTGAAGTTGTAATAATAATTATAATTGTACTGTTGTGCCGTGTTCAGGCCCGGGCTCGCTACGAGGAGTGCATCAGCAGCCAGCAGGAGTGGAAGCAGATCCACCACCTGTGCTACTGGGAGCTGATGTGGACCCACTCGTACCAGCAGGACTGGATGCAGGCGTTCCAGTACGCCGACCTGCTGTGCAAAGAGAGCCGCTGGTCCAAGGTGAGCAGGAGCAGAACCCTCTGAGATCTGATGTCTGAAGAAAACGATGCCTGATTGGTGTAAACGAGCCGCCTAACGACTTCCTGTGCAGGCGATCTACGTGTACCAGAAGGCGGCCATCTTGAGCATGATGTCGGAGGACGAGGCGAAGAAGACAGGCGAGGACATCGTGGAGCTCTTCAGGTGAAGTCGTTCATCCTCCTCCAAATCAGAACCATCCGAATGTGAACGGATGTTTAGTAAAGTTTAATATTTTACAGGTAAAATCACAGAAAAAAACAATAATTTACATGTTAAACCTAAAAAACAAATAACTAAAGTGTGAATAATGTTCACATCATAAACGTATTTATTGGTGTTTTCACAATGTGTGATTTTGAAACTAGACTGTTTTACTGCGTTTAAATCAGCAAAAAATATGAATTTTAAGTCTAACAAATACATAAAAAACTGTAAAAACAATAAAAAACAAACAGCAGCTAATGTGTTATTTTTAACTGGTTTAAATACAATAAAACGTTTCAGAGCCACACGTTAAAGAACAAACCATCATTTACAAACACAGATTTCTGACGTCGACATTATTGACCTGTTTGTTTACACTAAACATGTGAATTAATTCTTCCTCTTGTGGTTTTACTGGATGTTCTCTGTCATTTAACAACCTGTGAAGCGACAGTAAAGTGTTTCCAGTGTTTTGGGTAAAAACTGCTAAAAAAACGTTTATTTCCTCGGAGCGTTTTGCACTGAACTCCCACAATGCTCTCTGCTTGCAGGCAGGTGGAAGGTCTGAAACAGCGTCTGGCGGGAAAATCCATCCCGACAGAGAAGTTTGCAGTGAGGAAGTCGAGACGCTACAAAGCTGCTAACCCCGTCCGCCTGGTCGTCCCTGCTCTGGTACCGAACGCTGCTGCTGCAGCCGAATCAGTCGCGCTAACGTACAGGAAGTGTGAAGGTGTTTACGACTGTTTGTCCGCCTCCGTAGGAGATGATGTACGTCTGGAACGGCTTCACCATCGTCGGGAAGCGAGCCGACTGCACCGAGGCCCTGCTGGTTACCCTGGAAACGGCCGAGGAGCAGCTTCGCAACGACCCCAGTGAGCTACGAGCGCTAATGCTAACACTGTTTAAAGCTAGAGAGTGAACCGGAGTTCCACAGGGCTCCGGCCTCGGCCCACTTCTGTTGAACAGGTTTAAACAGGTTTTCAGACGTCATTGATTCACAAAAAAACTCTTTGTTTTCAAAAGTGATGATATATGTAATACCTGTAACTTTCTCTTTGTCTCTTTTTCCCAGTGGTTTACTGAGTGTCCTTCGTTTTCCACGACGTCCCTTTTCCACATATGGTCTTTTTTTTAGCTGTTATTTTACAGATTTCAGCATTTTGTTCAATCACGGCTAATATTCACTAAAACCACAGAAACACAGAGTTAATCTAAATGTAGGTGTGAACAAACAAGTGACAAACCGGATCAGAACTGTAAATAATGTCCTCTGAGCTGGTCCTGGTCCTGGTCCTGGTCCTGGTCCTGGTCCTAGTCGTCAGATGTTCAGTCATCAAACCTCTGATGGCGACGTGTCGTAGATCCACTAAACAAACCAGATCAGATCATATCTTAGATACCAAAGGTTTTCAGGAAGCAGCTTGAGCCAGATCCCTGTTCTGTCTCGTTCAGACCCGACGGAGTTCCACCCAGACGACAGCTGTCTGGTCCAGATGTTGAAGGGCCTCTGTCTGAAGCACCTGGGCCGGCTGCTGCAGGCCGAGCTCTGCTTCACACAGGTGCTGTCCAGGTAACGCCGGCACACTGAGATGCTGTGTGACATGTCGTCGGTGTGGGACGGAGCCGTGATCTGTGTTTGTGTTTGTGTCCAGCGAGAGTCGCATCCGATACGACCACTACCTGATTCCCTTCACGCTCTACGAACTGGCTCTGCTCTATAAGCAACAGGGAGACTTCGCCAAGGCCACGGCCTACATCGAAAACGCCAAGTGAGTCCGCTGTGGGGAAGAAAGGGGCCTTCAGCATGAACCTCATCATCACACAGATGCTTATACACCTACATACATATATATACATATATATACATATATATACACCTACACATACCTTCATATACAGTCATATACCATTATATACATACATACACTTTTATATACCATTTTATAACTTTACAAACCTTCATATATATTAGTATACCTTCATACACCGTTGTGTAGTTATAACCTCTACATACCTTCATATACCTTGATAGTCCTTGATAGACCGTCAGACTTCCTGATCCACCTCAAATACACGTATATACCTCCATATACTTTCATGTACACCTTCATCTGCCGTCACATGCCTTTAAACATGGTTATACATCTTCACACACCTTGATGCACCTCTGTATGTTTGGTTATATGCTTTGTTTTGGATGTATACACCTTCTATACATCAGCCTGTCTCTGGCTCACACACCTCCAGATTTATATATATATACTTTATACACCTTTGTCTGCTCTACAGACCTTCACTGAACAAACCTTTCCATACCTTCAGTGAACTACTATATATGTTCTTTCGACACCTCGATGCTGTTCTCCATACCTCCATGCCCTTCCTAAAACCTCGGTGTGGTTCGATATACGCCTTTGTGCCCCTGTACATACCTTCATATCCACTCGTAGGTCACCGTAGCCTCCTTATATAATCACATGTTCAGCCTGTACACCTTCCATAGCACCTTCAACACCTTCTACACCTTTTAGCATCAATGAACTTGTATACTCCTGCTTGACCTCTTTGTGCTTTTATATACCATTAAATACATTCACATGTTTCCATACACGACTATGAACCCGTTGTGTCGACACTAAAAACAACACAAAGTACACGTCTATAGGTTTGTACACAGTCTGAACTCCTGAACCAGTCCGGTACCTGTTTGTTGTTGTGAAACACCTGACGTCACAGGCGTACCTGAGAACAGGAATGTCAGCGACGTCTGGAGGTTTCCTGTTGGTCTGGTTGAGGCCGTGGCTGACTGACTGATGTTGTTCCCCGTCAGGACCAACTACAAGGACTACTCCATGGAGTCTCGGCTGCACTTCCGGATCCACGCGGCGCTCAACAGCCTCAAAGGTTCGCCTGTCGGGACGCCGTGACCCCACCGAGGCGCTCAGGTGTGTGGGTGGTTTCCACGCCGCCCGTCCGCCTGCTGCTCCTTCTGACCTCCTCTTCTGTTTTTTTTATTAATTTAAAGATCCTGAGCGCTGAGATTATACGTTGACTTGCACTCAGACAGGCCTCCCGCTAACGTCTGCTGGTCCGCCGAGCCGCGGTCCAATCACAGACGGCCACACATGAGGCGTTTTATTGTGAAGGGCTCGTTCACTCAGGGACGGCCGTCAGTCCCGCTGACAGCTTCTGATCATTTTGACGTATAAAACTTCAATCCTCAAACGTTCGCTGACGATTTCTGCGGCTCGCTAGTTACTGACGAATCTTCTGGAAACAAATTTGTGTCTTTTTCTTACGTTTCTGTGTGAACGGGCCCTAAAATCAAACCTTTATTGTGAAAAGCAACCAACGAGTCACGGCCTTACACTACAGCGGAGCGTCCGTCGAGTCATAAATTGAGAGAAATGTGTATATTTCTTGGAAAGAATCATAAATACTGACAGATTTCAGGCTGGGTGCCGTCCTCAGATGTGTGCTTTATACTTTCTTTTGATTTCCTGACGACGCATCACAGCCTTCTCACCGACGGTGGCTTAAACCGACACAGCAGAACACACTCATTCCAAGCTACTGCCGCCATATGCACACATTCAATCGGCTGTAGACGCACATTTAGCAGCAATATGAAGGACTGGTGCCGTGAGCTGGTCCTGGTCCAGTTAGCTGGTCCTGGTCCAGCGTCCACGTCCAGCCGGCTGCAGGTTGGGTTTCTCAGACGCAGAGGCTGAAGTCGTACAATCGTGCAGAAATGAATAATAACTATTATTGTGAAGGTTTCCTGCGTTAAACAAGACGTCCGGCTGCTGCCCCCTGGTGGCCGGAGCGAGCAGCGCAGCCTTAAACAACCCAACAGTGAGATGAAATGATCTGTTTGTGTTGGAAGCAGCTCTGCGTCTGAGAAACACAACCGGCTAAACTACAGAGAGACTGAAAGCTTGACGTCCGTCCTGGTGTTCCTGCTGCGTAGCTTGAGCTGTGGGAGGGTTTCTCCTGTCGTACACCATGAAGAGCAGCTTTACTGATAAACAAGAAGCACAATCCACGACCTCCCACCACCATCAGAACAAGCTTTGTCGTTTGCTTTAGGGTAGTTTGATACCATTTACTTTGATATAAATATAATATATATATAAATGTTAACAGGATGAACAGATGCAGCTTTGGAAAAAGGGTTTCGCTTCATGTTTGGCAGCGTCCCGGTGATTTTAGGGCCTTCGTGACATCTTTGCTTCCATTTTTTAAACGCTAGCGAGAAGGACGAATAAAGTCGCGACGGTTCGCCTTCTCCCTGCGATGAATGTACCTACACAAAGAAAAGACCAAATTATGTGTGTGTGTGTCTGTCTTTTATTTTATTGTGTATCTTGTGCCTGTTTGGCTGTAAGTTTTCTTCATGTCTTCGTGTGATTCGAAACTTTACTTCCGAACAACTTAACTCGCCAAGTGCATCGCTTTAATGATAGTAGTTGTACGAAAACGACCAGAGTCGTCTGTGTTGAAGAGTTGTGGCAGTGACACAAAAAAAGGCCTTAAAAGAGGTTCGAAACACGCACAACGTTTTGGTACGCAGTGGAAACAGCTCATGGACGTTATTATCGACATCTAGAAGCCACCGCGGCTAGCACACTAGCTAGCATGCAACGTAAGACATGCAAAGACATAACCAAAGGATGAGCCCATTAGGAATGAGCGTTAAAAAACTTAAAAGTTACTACATATTATCTCTCAATCTCTTGAAAACCTCATTTCCATGGCAGCCGCTATTTCCAAAAACAAGCTAACGGAATACTTCCACTTAGAACAGTCGTATCTTAGTGGGTGTTCATGTGGACTCTTCTTGGTAAAAACGACCCTGTTTGAAAGCAACATGCAATATTTGACCACCTGCTAATGCTAGGAAGCCGCTAGCAGAGGTTTTAGCTAGCTAACGTTGCTATTGGAGTGAAGAAACAGCGATTGTTAAAATGTTAACTTTTAAGTGATCCTCTGTGTGTTAAACAATTGATTGAACAATGCTATATGCTATTTTAGCATTACACTCCTAGCGCCTTCTACAATGTTAGCATGTTGCTTGTTATCCCATAACAAGGTAACATGCTAACACACTGATACTGTGTCATACAATTGTGCGTTTTGGCATGACATTAGAGGGTATGGCTAGCTAAAAGCAGAGGTTTTAGCTAGCTAACGCAGCTATCAAAGTTGAGTAGCAAAGAAACAGCCATTGTTAAAATGCTAACTTTTAAGTGTGTTTAGCAATTGATTGAACAATGCTATATGCTACTTTAGCATTACACTCCTAGCTCTTGCTACAATGTTAGCATGTTGCTTGTTATCCCATAACAAGGTAGCATGCTAACACACTGATACTGTCATACAATTGTGCTAAAAAGTTAGCATTGTCGCTGTGCGTTATTGCTAACATTTTGGCATGACAGTGGAGGTTACAGCTAACTAAAAGCAGAGATTTTAACTATTGTTATCTATTGTGTGATTCTCTATGCAATAAAATAATTATTTAGTAGAGCTTTATACTACTTTAGCATTACACTCCTAGCTCTTGCTACAATGCTAGCCTGCTGCCTGTTATCACACAACAAAGCGGCAGGTTAATATGTTGAAACTGCGTTTTTGTGCTAAAAACTTAGCGGCGTTAATGCTAACACGTTAGCATCACAGTGGCTCCAGTTTGTCATTTGACATTCAAGGCTAATTTTGTAAACAAGTAATTGCTGATTTTTGATTCAGAAGGTTGTTTAAATCTCTAACAGCAGTTTTCAAAGACTTTTCAGAATCGTCGCAGTTTTATATTTAAAAAAAATCTGTCACAAAAAAAAATATTTCCTGATCAAAAAAAAAAGCTGATATTGAGAATTTTTCTTTTGTGCTGCACAAAAGCAAAAAATAAACCAGTGTGACATTAATGCAGGTAAACGTTACTGATGATAAAGTTTGTAGAACGCTAATCAAAATGAAAACGTTGATCCGTTTCTGGCGTCCATCTTTGTTTGGCTCCGTCACAACCTTCCTCCACAGAAGACTTTGGTTCTTGCGTTTCATTTGTCAGTGCCTCTGTGTTAAACTGTTAAACGCATTTCTGTTGGATTTGCGTTGCATGTTACTCTGCATAAGCTTTTTCTTTTCTTAAATGAGACTTTGCTGTTTGGTGTGTGATTTACGGCAGGAAGAGAAATTGTTGGACCCAAATGATCGGCGTTGCGGTTGGCGGTGGTGATCCACACGGTGCAATAAAACGAAAACAGAAGCATTTGTGTTTTTTTGGTGTTTTTATTTTATTACTGTTGTTCTATTTATGTGCCTCTTTGTGCGTTTCTGAGTCTCGTGTTTCTATCAAACTGTAAATCTTTTAGGTTTCTAATGAGCACAAAGGAAGAGTCGGTTGTGTTTCGGTACAGTTTGTGTCATTCACGTCTTTTTAAACCAATAATGGAGGCTGCAGTCTGTTAGCAGTAATAATAATTATTATACCCCAGGAAACACTTTTCCTCCACATCACAGTCCTCGCCAAGGAACAGATTGCTATACCGACTGTTTCTGTGTGTTCGGCTTCACAGAAATAAGACTGATCATGATCTTCGTAACCAGTTTGTGTGAAACGTTAAGTGTTCCTGAGCTTTTCTGTTTAAAGGAAGAAGATCAGATTGTCTGTTGTTGCTTTAAAAGGCAGCGTTCATCAGTGAATATGACCTGGAAACAGACAGATGTTAGCATTAGCTCAGCATCGCATAGACAGAAATGGAGCTAATGGAAATATTAATGGATCAAAACCGTTCTTTTGTTTATTTCCTAAGAAACTTGAGCTAATGTGCATTAAAGCTGTTTTTTAAATCTGAAATGTTAACTAGAAATATGAACTAAAACAAATGATCACAGTCCAAACCGAAGTGTTTTGGAAGCTAAATGAAATTGTTAACTACCTGAAAATCTCCAGGCTCTTTGGCTAGCTAGCAACCTGGACTTTAGCTAACCTCAAGCTCACTGTTAGCATGCTTGAACCAATTTGTTTCAGATAAAACACTAATCTCACTAACTAAACAAAATAAACAATTAGCCACTTTAAACCCAGTGATTGTATTAAACTGAACTTTCAGCTAGCCACAAAAAGCGTTGTTAGCATTTGTTTTAGCTATCAAACAGAGATGTTAGCTAACCCCACATTTGTTTTAGCTATTACACAGAAACGTTAGCTAACCCCACATTTGGTTTAGCTATCTAACAAAACATTAGCTAGCCTCATATTTGTTTTAGCTATTAAAAATTAGCTAACTTTAACTTTGTTTTAGCTATCAAACAGAAACATTGACTAACCCCACATTTGTTCTACTCAATAAACAGAACCACAAGTTTGGCTGTTAGCCTCGAAACAGCAACATTAGCTAACAAAAAAAACAAAAAAAACAAACGATTTGAAACCAACTTTCTTAATGTTGAAAGATTCCAAACCAATAAACGTATGAGTAAACATAAAGTGTTTATGACATCAACGTAAACTGTTAGCCGTCTCAGCTAAACTTGATGCTAAATTGAACCAAAGCAAAGCTCAAGTGAACATTTAGGTAACGTTTCTGATGAACACAATCAAACTAAGACGTCTGATTGATGCATTTTCATTTGTGCTCATTTAACAAGTAGATTAGACCATAAACAGTTTCTAAACTATCAGATGATGAAGTCACTGATGCTTACGGACGAAGGCTTCCTGCTGTGTCGTTCTGTATTATCGTAAATCATTACCGCTGCAATATATATGTGTGTTGTCCAGAATTACTGAGTGAAACGTGTCTGAAACATTTCAAAAGCCATAATTCGATTGCTAGTTGCCTTGATGCTCTCCAACGAAGCTTCCTTCCCTGTATATGTAGAAACTGATGCCAGAAACGCACCAGATGTCTTCTGGACTTGTTGGTGCGACTCTGATGGTAAAATCCTTCTGGAAAAGTGTCTCCAAACGTAAAACAGTCGATGTCTTGTTTAAAACAGTGCACTGCCGATGCTTCTGGTGCGTTTGTGGCATTAAAGTCCTCCAGCTGATGCTTTCCACTCATGTAGGAACAACGCTCGATGGTCCGTCGATCGGGGACGGTGTCAATAAAGGTCTGTTGAACACTGCGTCTCCTCTGTGGAGGCAGAGACGGTCCACGTCTGTAAAGTTGGTTAAAAACAGTCGTTTTATTCATGAACATCTTTACAGACGCTCTGAGGTGTCAGGCGTCTGTCGGCATGAAGTCTCTGATCAAACTAAATAAATCCATCTGAGCTGAAACGAGTTCCTTCGTTGTGTCGTCATTTGTTTGTTGGTTTTGTCGAAGCTTTTGGAACAATTTGAGCCACATCCTGTAGAAAACCAGTGACTCAGTGGATCGGCTGAACATTAACGTATTTGTGTTGATGAAACTCAGCGCCGTGTTCTGGTTCTGGTTCTCACTGAGCAACAAACTGTTTAAACTCAACGTTACTGTCTGAACTACATGTCCCATCAGCCCCGGCTGCTGTCTGTCCAAACTTTAGTATTGTTGCCAATTATTACCCACAATTCCTTTTGAGTGACAGAACAGGCTAGCCGGCTCACACTTTGTTAGCCAATGGTAACCAAGAATGAACATTTGTAAACGTCAGACTGTTAAGAACCAATAAAGTTTTAGTGTAAAAATAACCAAAACAAAGCCGTTTGTTTACGTTCAGGTGTTCAGCCTTCATGTGGCGCCATCATCAGGTCAAAGGGTTTAAAGCTTTTGATTGGTTATGGAGACATTTGCTAAACCACCGACCTCAGCTGTGTGTTGTGTTCAGCTAACTGTGTTAGCATGCTAACCCCCTGAACCACCACAGACGTTATTTCTGAGCATCTGATGAAGAACGTGTTCGTCGTCGACTTCTGTTGTTCAATAAACATTTAAGTGATTCTGAAACAGAGAGTCGAACATATTTCCTTGTTGAGGCTCTTAAACGTGACAACGTGCTGCGTTTCTGGTGCAAACGATGCTTCGGATGCTTCGGAGGTCGTTTCTTCTCACGCTGGTGACCGATGAAGCTCGACGACGTCCCACTGACCCGGCCTCTGACTGGTTCTGCTTCCTGACTGTGTATCCGAGCCGAGTCCAGGTCCTGATAGCGAGCAGCCGGACCAGAGTTCTGGAGCGCTGATGATGAAACGCTGTTCTGTTGATTCAGCGTTTGAACATTAACTTGTTTGTTCGTTCTGTTGATTCTCCTCGAGGTCGAAGCTTTTCCCGGCAGCAACCAAAACCGGTCGTATTATTTCTATTTATACGTCATTTCTTTTACTGTTTACGGGTTTTTATCTGACTGTTTGCAGGTCCGATAACCGACAACTGATCACAGCGTTGTTCACTATAAATCTCTGAACAAAGTGAAATGAATCTGACGAAAAATAGGATTTTCTTTTAAAGCAAATTGAAATTAAATTAAAGAAATTAAATTAATTAAATACATTAAAATTAACAGAAAAAATAAAATAAAGAAAAGAAAATATAAAAATAAGCAATACAATTAAAATGCATTTAAAGAAACAGAAAAACTTTTTTAAAGAAAAAAATGAAAATACAAAAAACCTTGACAAGAGAAAAAATGAAATAATATCTATGAGGCAGAATTGTAAAAAAAAAAAAAAATAAGATAATTAAAATGAAATAAAAGAAAACAATAAAAAAAAATACATAAAAAATGTAGGCAAATGTAGAAAAACTTCAAATATAATAATTAAAATATTAAAATTAAATGTAAAACACATGAAAACTAAAAATGTCTACAACAGAAATTTGAAACATTAAAAGAGGAAAAGAACAAATACCTCCGAAAAAAGACCACAGAAACAAAATAAAGAAAATTATTAAAGACAAAATATGTTTAAAATAAATTCAAACTAAAATAAACTAAAATAATTATGAAATTGAAGAGAAAAAATAAATAACAAATGTGAACAAAAATCTATAACATGAAAACAAAAATAAAATTGTTTTAAAATTTGTTTAAAACAAATTTGAGCAAAAATTTAATGCAAAATAAAAATTAGCCTCATATATTAAAATAAATGATTTCAGCTTTAATTCGTGGCATTAATCGTCTTCTGTGCAGAGGAGGAAACCCGACCATATAAGGTCATGAGGACTAAACCAGCAGCAGACATAAAGGGAAGAAATATCCACATAAATAAATCATTTAAGGAGACGCTGTGTTTAAACGTCTTCTTCAACATGGTTCGTTCCTGCGGATCAGCTGATTGAACAGGAACAGGTGAGCGGTTCTGTTACCTGAACATGAGTCCACCTGCTCCACTGATCACAGAGCTTCAAGAACCACAGCTAGTTCCTCTGAATGAAGGTGAATCGACGGAACCGTTGATGGGTTCTTCACTCCTGAAGGTCCACGTCGGTGAGTCTCATGAAGCTGAGCTGGTCCACGAGTAATGTTCCTGTAACGTGAATATAACGTTCAGAGGATGTTGTTGGGAACACGGACGATGTTCCCCAACGACGAAGGTTCTCATACCAACATTCACAAAACGTTCTCCAGATGTTACCCAGGCCTTGGTTGGCTTTTGTAAAACGTTCCTGTAATGTGACGCATTCGGAACATTTTGGCTGCAATGTTCTGGGAACGTTCTGGAGATGTTCTTACAGAATCTATAAAGTGTTCCCAAACAACTTCTAGGAACGTTCTAAAACCAACTTTATGAAACAAATGTTCTCCAGATGTTGTTGGGCCTCAGACAGTTTTATTTACACAGAACATTTTGTAACGTTTCTGTTAAAGGTCGAACATTTTGACTTTTTGTTCAAAGAACATTTTAGAGAACGTTCTTCGATAAAATCTGTTCATGATATTAAAGTAAGAACATCCTCCAACAGCACTCAAAAAAGGTTCCAGATGTTGTCGAGGCCTCAGACGACAGAACGTTCTGTATAAAACGTGTCTGTACTGCGACACGTCGTTGTTCTCAAGGCCTCAGAACGTTCTAGTCCAGGACATTTTAAAACGTTCTCATGATCCGATATATGAAGATCAATATTCTGGGAAACAAAAACATTCATAGAACTTTGCAAAACTTTCTGAGAACATTTTTTTGGAATGTTCCGATAAATTAATGTTTTTTGACGTCAGAGGATGTTGTCGGAAACACAGACTACGTTCTACGATAGCAAAGGAGGAACGTTCTCAAGCTAACATTCCAAAAAGGTTTCCCAGAGATTTGTTTTGTAACGTTCCTGCAATGCAATATATGAGAACATCCTTTAAAACCTTTCTGAACTTTTTTAATCAAACGTTCTGGTGATGTGGAACCGTGGTGGAACATCTGCCAGCAATGTTCTGAGGATAACATTGAGGGAACCCATGGTGGAATCTATAAAACGTTCCACAGTGTCACGTGACAAAAGCACGAGGACCCATTTAGTCATCGGCAAACATTTTTAGAACGTCTCCAGTTGTTCTGCCTGTGAGAACGTCGTTTGTTTGGTTTCTCCATTCTGGGTTTCCCGTGATGCACTCGAACTCAGCGCTGAGTCACCTGACCGGATCAATCGGGTTCAGGTCGTGACTGAAGAGTCGAGCTAATGATTGATGGACGGACGAGATATCAGAGGTTCTGTTGGTTCTCGGCAGTGAGAGGACCTGCTTCTGCTTCACAGAACACAGTGTCTGGTTTTCTCCTTCAGGTCCGTCTGGACTTCAATTTTCTGTGACAGTCTGAAGGAACCGGGTTCTCCAGGATGGGATCCGTTTGTCTGTTCCTGCTGTTCCTCCTCACAGTTGGCTCTGAGGCGGTGAGTTGGACTCTTTCTAGTTTTATTAGTCGCGTCTTTACGCTGTTCTGGTGCGTTTTATATCAGTTTCTCTGACAGAACGTGGAACGCAGAACGTCGCTGCACCTCACGAGTGAAGTCCTCCGATCAATAAATGTCCAACTGTGACATCGCTGCGTTTGTGTTCTGCCTCAGCTCGAATGTTCTGCAGAGAATGTTCTGCTAACGTCTTCAGCAGGAGGTTTTTTCCGTTTGTTCCTCAAGGTAGAGACGTTCTAAAGATGTTTGGTCATAATGTTGTCAATCATCTTCTTCTGTTATGTTACATTGTGGAACATTGTGGGAACGTTTTATAGATTCTATTATTTGTTCCCTCAGCATCACCCAGAAAACATGGCAGCCAGAATGTTCCTCTCTGTCGACGTCTACCGTTACAGGAACGTCTCCTGAGGAACGTTCCGTCAATCTGACGCCTTGGTACCGTCCAGACAGTGTTCTCTCATGTATTCCCTGAACAAAAAGGCAAAATGTTCCACAAGCATTACAGGAACATTTTGTCAACTGAGGCCTCATTAACATCTGGAAAACATTTTTAAAATGTTGTTGGAGAACGTTCTTCCTTTAATATATCATCGTTGTTAGAATATTTTCTAAAGAACATTCTACCATGTGTTCGCTCAGCAGCATCATCAGAACGTTGCAGGAACATCAGAAAATGCTCGTTTGTTGTCATAAAATGTTGTTAGAACGTTTTCTAGCAGAGCGTTCTCTCCTGTGTTTCCCCGAAAACGTCCCCAAAACCTCCTCAGAACATTGCAGCCAGAATGATCCACATCATAAATCTATCATATATCACAGCGCAGGAACGTTTCATAAAGAACGTTCCGTCATCTGAGGTCTCAATAACATCTCGAAATCAAAAAGGCGAAATGTTCTACCTTTGAAACGTTCCATTACGTTGCAGGGACGTTGCAGAACAGAACAGGATCTTTAATGTGCTGAATTTTTAGTTCTTTTCAGTGCACAATAAATCCTTTTAACAGACTAAAACTTGTCTGACGTGATCTATAAACCCGATGTGTGTTATTGTTTTTATCACTCCATCATAAAGGTAAAGCTGTGTATCATCTGCATAAAGTCAGAACTTTTACGTCTGTTCTGGTAAATCGATGACCGGGTTGTCCTTTAATTTCTCCTTTAGTTGAACCCATCTGATAACCAGGAACTGCCCTCCATAAACCAGCAGATCTCACAGAGACCAGAGTTTCCATTACCTGTGGCCAAAAGTCCCGCCCCAGTGGAGGCAAGCCCCTCCCCCGTATCAACATGCCCCACCCCTGTTGACACAACCCACACTGATGCATCCACAAGCCCCGCCCCCAAAACGCCTAAAGCGCCCAAGAGAGACGAGTTTCTGGGTTCATCTGAGTGTTTGGACAAAAAGTAAGCGTACTTACCTTTTTGTTTTCCCTTATATACGTTAACGAGTTAATGAGTTCACATAAATTAGGCTTTACGGTGAGTAAAACATGAACTAACACAAAACCAGCGGTTGTGTTGCTGAAAATTAATTTAAGACAAAAAAGAATCACTAAATTCATTCCCAAGGGGTCAACAGCACTGAGATGTGTGGTTTAAACGTTCCTCCAACTCTGACCTGTTGGTGGCGCCACAGTGCTGCCAGTAAAGACACCAAAGTTTAACGGGTTCTTCCTTTGCCAATGTTCCACCTCTGCACCAATTTTCACAAGAATCCGCCCGGTAGTCTTTGTGTGAACCTGCTGTCAGTCGGATCATAAAATGCGACCTGTGGTTCTTCAGGCGGACTCGAGCGTCATGTGACCTGGTGTTCTGCCGTCCGTGGGAACGTTGCATCGAAGGACGGTGTTCTTGCAAACCGCCCTACCTGTGTCCCTTCGAGAACGTGAGGCCGGTTTGCGGGCGGGACCACAGGAACTACAGATCCTACTGCCAGGTAAACCACCGGTTCTAAGGGAAACCGATTTGAGAGGGGTTCTTTAGGTTCTATTGTGGTGGTTCTTGTGGTCAGAACATGCACAAAGGTTCATTCTGTTCCTCCAGTGAAAAACTATTGAATATCTTCAGCAGAAACCAGAACCAAGAGTCCCAAATCAGTAGAAACCTTGATGGCTTTACTGTCGTTTCCAGGCGATGGCGCTCTCGTGTCGGACCAAGAAGCCCACCATGTCCCACTTTGGGGAGGACTGCGAAGGTTGGTTCTCACGGGTTTGTTTTTGTCCTCGCTGTGATATTTTTGGTGCTTACGGTCAATGTTTCCGTCTTTGTCCTCACAGCGAGTTTCCAAAAGTCCTCGAGTTCCGTAGATGAAGACACCGGTGTGGTGTCCATGTTCCTGCCCGGCAGCAACGGAGGCGGCGAGGAGGTTCTGATTTGTCAGAAGCTGTGGGACACGGCGGCGGCGAACGTGGCCTGCAGGGAGCAAGGAAAACCACTGTGAGAGGATTTACGTTCATCATGGGATGTCCTGAGCTTATCAAAACCTTCATCCCGCACTGATGCTGCTGTTTGCTGGTTTGGACCACATTTATCAGCTACGAACTTCTGGGACGGACGTCACTGTTCTAATCCACCTCAAAATCTAAAGAAAAAACAAAAACAAAAGTGAAAACTTGGCAGCAGAAACACACACTAAAGACGAGTGGAATACGCTAACGTCTGAAAACTGCAAAATAATTCCAAATATCTGTAGAACTTTTAAGGTCAAACATTTTTCAAAAACAAATTATTTGTAAAAGTCTCTGTCGTGGTCCTGTTGCTGCTAAACTCCCACAATGCTCTCTGCTGCCACCATGAACTGTAGTCTGAGTGACGCCTCCTCTGGTCTCTACAGGATGAGAGGTGAGAGGCTCCACCTGGTGGAACAACCAGGTACTACAGCTGCTCTACGATACGTTTACTGACATCATGTAGAGAACACGAGTTCCTCCATGTGTTATTATTATTATCTGTTATATGTTGTCCATTATTGAGAGAACCGGCGTCGGATTGGGACTCGGTATCAGCAAATACTAAACGAGTCGTATCAGAGTCGGAGGAAGTTTACCGGGACATCCCTAGCTTACGTACAAATGGAACTCCCGACCACATTGTGGGACTGATGCACGGTGGTGTTGATGTTGTGTCTTCAGGGGAGCAGCTTCTGCCGATTTGGTACCGTTTGACTCCCTGACCAACAAACCGGACAGATGCGTTAGCGTCCGCTGCCAAGGCTACGAGACGTCGCTGTCGGAGTGCATCATCTACGACAAAGTGAGGAGCAGCCACGAAAGGGTCGCCGCCGTGTCCTGTTACGAAGCTCTGCAGAAGCCTCAAGGTCAGTACGTGATGATTCTGCCATCAAATCAGTTACACCGACCGATCTGGTACTGACAGTGAAGTCTCGACATCCGTCACCAGGCAGCGTCACAACAGCTAGCACAGCCATGAACACCTACAACGTTTCTTTAGTTCAGAACAAAACAAACTTCCATGTGGAACGTTTCTGTGTTTCAGCAGACGAGTGTGACTTCAGCTGTGCGAACTCGAAGTGCGTTCCTCTGAACCGGACGTGTGACGGCGTCGATGACTGCGGCGACCGAAGCGACGAAATGTGCTGCAAAAGTAACGAAACACAAACGGAGGTTTAGTGAAGCTGCATGTTGTTCTGTGTGAGTGACTGTCGGTCAGGTTGCAGGAACGGAGCGTTTCGCTGCAAAACCGGAGTCTGTCTGCACGGAGAAGCCGTCAACGACGGACAGATCGACTGTCTGGACGGAGAGGACGAGGCAGAGAGACACAAGAAGAAGACGACGCACAGTAAGAGTTCACACGACGACACCTTCACGAAGACAAAGATGTTACGACACTTTAAAATATGCAAAAATAGAGAAAATCTAATAGAAGACAAACGCGTGAACATGTAACGCCGCTGTGGATCCATTAAAGGATGAGACCGCTGAAGATTGTTCTGTGAAATCTTTACATCATGTTCGCGGAATCTTTAGGCAATAGTTCCTTAAAGTGTTTTCGTAGAACCGTTAGAGAACCTTCATGGGACATTCTCTATGGGTGTTGTGTTCCATCGCTGGGTGCAACGTGATCAGTGGGCGCAGTCGTTAGAATCAGTTTGAGCATCGACAGATTTCACATTTTATATATTTGTGTAAATGTGGAACCAATGTGGAACCAACATGGACCAGTTTGGAACCAAGACAGAACCAGTTCTAGGAGCAGAATGCAAGGGCAGCTGGAGAAAGGAGAGCATGATTCAGATTTTTGTTTAGGATTTGTGTGGGAACCCAAAAGATGGGAGTTTGGATCCTCAAACGCTGAGTTCTTCATTTAAAATCAAAACCATCCACAAGCACCACAGTCAGAGTGTTTACAGGTGAATCAGCTGTTTGTAGCAGCTGTTTGCTTCCTGTTGGTGTTTCAGGCTTTGGTCCATAGAGTCACAGTATTCAGGACATTTAAACAGGAGCTCCTGAAGCTGACATTTACCACCATCTGTTTGTCGGCAGCGTCCTTCAGGTCATCTGCAGATCCTGAGAAGATCCTCCAGCAGCTTGGAAACTCAGGTGAGACACGTGTGGAGCTTCATCCTGCAACCTGCTGTTGTTGTTGTTGTTGTTAGTTCTGATGATGAGGACGTTTGTTTGTCTTGTTTCAGAGTTCGTCTCTCCCAGAAACGGTACGAAGCCTCAACTCTGTCATCAGAACTGAGTTTAGACCTAATCCATGGATGGTAAACCGCTCCGGTTCTGTTAACCAGGAACTAATGGGGTCAAATGGCGTCCAATGAGAAATCAGCTTACTTCACTACAAGCCGATCGTCAGGTCACGTGATCAATAACTCTGATTGTCTGTGTCCAGAGACGAAGGTCACCAGAGTTCACCTGGAGTCCAAGTTGTACTGCGGCGTTCCCAACGCCACCATGGTGGACGAGGAGGAGGAGCACGGGCGGAGACACCGGTTCAGGAGGGTGGTGGGCGGATCCGAAGCCAAGCCGGTCAGTCAGAGGCTCACCTGTCCGACAAAAACACCTGGACTAGCAGTGAAAGCTGCACTGTTAGCATAATTTCCCAGCAAGCTGACCTTCAGGGAACCTTCCCTAAAGGTTCCCTGAAGTTTTGTTTTGTTGTTTTTGCTTTGTGAAATCTTCAGAGAACGTAAACGGACGATTCCTCAAGTTCTAAAAAAAACATCATTGAGATTCCATTTTTGTTTATTTTTCAAGTAACATTTAAGGATCGTTCCCCAAAAGTTCCCAGAAGACCATTTACATCTAGAAAATGTTCTTAAGGTTACATTAGCAGAACACTTCTTTTGTGAAGCCTTCTGAGGACCTCCAGTTTATTTATGTGGACCTTCTACAGACACTTCTTCTAAAGGTCTCTACACCATCTCCAACATCTCTCCAACGTTGCTGTAGATGTTGGAGAACGATACCTGTAGAACAAACCTGGATCGTTTTGGTTGTTTTTGAAGATGGCCAACGTTCTGTTGAGGTGACGCCTGCTGCTGTGTGTTCTGCAGACCCAGATCCAGTGGCAGGTGGCTCTGGAGGAGAACCGGAGGATCGACTGTGGAGGAGCTTACATCGGAGGCTGCTGGGTCATCACTGCTGCTCACTGCGTCAGGTAGAACCGAGCAGAACCAGAACCTGTTACTGACTCTGTTTGACTTGACACTAAACTGTGAAGGTTCACCAGCAGAAGTCAAGAAGGTCTGAGCGATGCTTTTAGAAGGTTTATGTCAGAATAAACACACATCAGGACATGTTGCCATCAGGTAATGATAATTTCCAGAACAGCACGTTCTCACTGGGGGTCCAGGGAACCGTTGGGTTTGTTGGGTTTTGTAGTTTTAGAAAGACAGAATGGCAACAAAACACCATAAGCAGACACAAAAATGTACCACAAAGAGATAAAAACATCCCCAGATGGAAGTCCCTGCTGCTGTCCGAGGCTGCAGATATTTAATCAAAATAATCCCAAACCAACAACCTGAACTTGAGCTCCTGTTGGTCCACACCTGGATCACGTCTACGATCCCAGACAGTCCGGTTTAGCTTCATGCTCTCTGTCCAGGCCGAACCCGTTGGCCTTCAGGGTGAAGTTCTCTCTCTGGAAAAAGTCTCGAGCTCAGGACACGACCGACATCGTCCCCGTCGAAGACATCCGCATCCATCCCAGGTAAGAGCCCACCTGCCGAGCTCACCTGTCCCACCCGAGTGCAAACGTTGACTTGATGCCGGTTCTGACATTGTGCAGCTACAATCCCGCCACGTATGAGAACGACATCGCTCTGGTGCAGCTGCAGAAGCTTCCGTTCCAGGAGAAGTGTCTGGTTGACAACCCGGCCGTCAGCGCCGTCTGCGTTCCCTGGACACCTCACCTGTTCCAGCCCAACCACACCTGCAGCATCTCGGGCTGGGGACGCACCGCAGGTACCTGGACGGACTCAGATATAGGAGAGGCTCAGCTTCTCACAGCAGACACTCAGGAGTCGGTCACTCCTGGATCAGGTGTCTGTAGAGTGGAGACGCCGCAGGTAAATCAAGGTGTTTGTGTGTTCAGACGGCAGGTCGGCTCAGGTGTTACGGTGGGCCAACGTGTCCCTGATCGCAGACTGTCAGAGGTTCTACAAGGACCGCTTCAAGCCAGGCATGATGTGTGCAGGTGAGCGCAGGACAGGTGTGCTGGTGTACAGGTGTGTTCAGGTGAGTGTGTGTCTTCAGGTGTGTTCAGTTGTGTGTGTGTGTGTGTGTGTGTGTGTGCAGGTGACCTGGAGGGCAGTGTGGACTCGTGTCAGGGAGACAGTGGAGGACCTCTGGTCTGTGAGGATGAACTGGGAATCTCATACCTGTGGGGCATCGTGAGCTGGGGGGACAA